AGGTGAAGTATGAGACGGAGACAATGGTATCGGAAAAGTCAGTGAACAAAACAGTCACCTCGTGACCTAAATTTACAGCTTCAAACGAACATTCTCGGGCTGCTACCAAATGATGCAAACAAGAGTAATCTCTGCAGAAGCTATGGTATGACAGTTTTAGCAAGCTGAACTTTGCCAAATGTCTTTGGAGAGCATTGCTCACCAGCTTCTCTAATAAATTGACCAATACGATAGAAGGCCTAACCTACTAGTAATTCTCAGAGGGTTGCTTATCATCTGTTCGTGAAAGTGGGCATACCATAATCCTGCAGTCGGTAGGTAGAGAACAGATATGGGGAGATCTGTTGAAGTGAGGTGCTCGGTTTGAAAAGCGCATCCGCTATCTGTTATAAAATCTTGGGATGAATGTTGTTTATCCAGGCAAATTTAGTGGAATTCATTTCAAGCAGAAGCATTTTTACCTAAGTTCCCTAGTGTAAAGATCCGTCAGGAAGGAATACACTGGTAGGTTTATCTCTATGCTATTATCTGATAACAGAGACCTCCGAACAAACGATCTTGCATATTGTTCCGTAAGTAAACAGGCTTTGTATTGGTCGCTTGATGCTGTAATGTAATCAAACCAAAAATACAGTTTAGACAACCAATTGTGATCATTTTCCCTAGTTCCCGCTCTCGGCTGAACATGTACGCAACTCATTCGGCTGACGTTGTTGGACTACCCAAACGGACTACAGCAGCTTAACCAGTATTTAGGGAGATGAATTATGTAACTGTTCAGCTACGTGTGTACCCCGTATGTGTGTTCCCCTGTACCTGTATGAAGAACTGGAGAGGGAGGATAAGCACCATGGGACAACCAGTTGACTAAGTGACACAACAATCTAGAAGACAAATATTAACGTAACAACTTCTGTTCAATATGGCCACAACTAGAGAAATCAGACACACACCCCTTAATGGCCTGCTTTGCAATCCCTAGTGAATGACCTAGATAAAATAGAAGGCATTTGTATGGTTGCTAGGACATGGTATACAGGCACGAGGCCTTCACTACAATCTGTCCAAAACATGTTTTCAGAGTATAGCATCAGACTTACGGATTTTATGTTTCTCATCTTGAGAGGGCACTAAGGAATATGCTTCCGGAGAAATGAAACTGTACCATTTTGTCTAGCTGCAAGACATTCAATGGTAACTAATCCCATGCATATGCTTCCATCCAGAAGGATATGTTGACTTGAACGACAGCGTGAGCTCTAAATAAAACGGTCGGATAGTGCCCAGTCCATAACGACAGTGAATGGATCTTAACATGTTGAATATATAATGTTCGGATTATTTCATGGTCGAAACGCAAAAGTAACAAAAGGGGATCAGGTTGGGGATGATTTAAGCCAACACGGTTGTTGGATTCAGGATCCCACAAAATTTGTTTCATAAGTGAACGTTGTAAATGAGATGCATTTGGGTTTTCAATGCAAAAGCGATATATTTCACTTGATAATGTATTTGAAATAACTGATAGAAGCGTACTTCTAAGTGTCTAACAAAAGAAATTCCATACGAAGACGAGTGTCAAATATGTGCAGAGTAGTCTGGAAGTCGACCGAATTTGTCCAGCCAAAAATCTGGCTCAAGACTGCGTAGTTTCTGTATTGATCGGCAATAGTGATGACAGTTTCCCGTACTCGGTGAAGACGCACGAGAAACAGGTCACGTTCAGTTTATCACTAGAATTCGGACAGAAGACCTGGACGACGTCGAATAGAAATCCAAACAAAATCATAACTCATGTCCAAATTTGTGAGCTAATCGGGTTCCGTGATTGTGACGAAAAGGTGGTTACCGGATTACTCCAACGTTGACAACAGCAGGTGATGCTGTAGCTATTGTCTTTTCTATTCGGTTTAAGCGGAGTGATCTCTGAGCATTAGCTAAGTGCTACGTAGCTAGCTTGATGTATTGTGTCGAACATCATTGGTACAGACAATCCTAGCTTGTTGTTTAGAAATGGAGAAAGTGCAGTTAGAATAAGGGAATAGTACTTCCAAAATTACTCAGATCCAAATATCCAAATCCACATATTTTGATCCGTTGAAATCTCAAAAGATATTCACGAGCCTGATCAAGCTAAGTGGAGATCAAACTCGGCGGAGAAGTGCTGCTCTCAAAAATGAACTACCCACTGATAAATAGTAGGGGGATTTGTTATAGTTGTGAGAAAAGTTGCCACTCCTAGACACAACCAGACAGCCACCACTCATCCAGAAAAGCACTAGAAGCCGTCTCGTCATATCGCGACTCGTCAGTAGCGTGCACAAACCCAACCTTTCCGAAATCGAACCTACGACCATACTCTTACGAGCCACCGACTTGCGCCACTTAGCCGTGGGTGACGGCAGCGGAACGCAACGACTGATATCTAGTTGCGATATCTCGCGGCTCATTCTCCACTGCATGCATATTATGAACGTGCAGGGGATAGGGTTAGCCTCCAGAGCAACAACTTTCTTTGAAAGTGGTCAGCGAGCGACGTGGCGTGTGAGCTGCTAAGGGGCCTATGAAGCAGTGGTAACTAGCATGGGGATTTATTGGGTTTCTGTGGAGGTTCGTCGCAGCTAGACACAGCCAGGCAGTCACCACTCATCCAAGAATACGCTAGACGGCTGTTTCGTCCTACTAGGATTCATCAGTAACGCGCACCCAACAGAGCTTGACGGATCCGAACCCATATCCTTACACTTGCATACCAGCGACTTATGCCATGGTTCAGTGGCAGTAGTGGTGACTGTCTGGTTGGGTCTAGCAGGACTACCCATTGTTAAAGACACTATTTTCCTGCGACGGTATGGCAATTTTTACGCGATCAGAAGCGAAAATCGCGGGAAATTTCTGTCTTGGTAGCAAAAATTTCCGCGCTTTTCGCACGAAAATTAAAATAAACAGGAATCCGAGCACATTTATACACTATGTGTATGTCACTAAGGATTTAAAAAAGAAGCCACATAATAAAGTTTAATAAGGAGCTTGGTGCCATCGTCTGAAAGTTGTGATGATAGTCAAACACAATCTGTCGTTGGCACTTACACTCCGTTCAGCGTCTACCGAATGCACAGGAATGCATAAATAACGACTGGCAACGTCTGTTGATTGTAAAATTCGTGCGTACATCCCACACCAGAAGGCCAGCGTGTCTTCATCTCTCAATCCATGCAGTACTTCCACAACTTTTCAATGGAGTAATCATTCGGCTACCAGGGTTAGCGAACCAACCAGGTCTGGAACATCAGCATATTTGCAAGGATCACTAGACAAGATGCTGAGCTGTTTGGTGTCGAGGACTAAAGATGCATTCAGAGACTGTCAGCTCGCCTCTGATGTCAGAAACGCCCGGGCGTTTTTGGCAAATTGCGAGAAGTAGAGTTGCATGTAAGTCTCTTTGCCTGCAAACGCTGCGACCAGTTTGCTTTGCGACATTTTTAAGCGAACTGGATAGATGGGAGAGGTCGTCGTAAATCTTATGGGTTATCTGAGACCGGAATTCAGCAGTTTTCAAGCTATGGAGGATGCTTTTATCAACAATCACAATGCAAGTGTTTTGTCACTTCAAAGCACTAGATGTTGTTTTGGTTGTCAGAGGATACACAATTTCACAAACAAATGCTGAGTGCAAAAACATGTTCCACAGTTTGCAGCACTTCTTAGTAACGTAAAAATAGTCACTGTGATGTACGACAGCTTTGAGCCAGAAGTTCCAGCGGGTGGTGAAAAGTGCGGGTGGAACGGTGGGGTTACCCACGCCTTTGGGAGTTAGATACAAAATGTAGACACGTCTCTTTTTTGCAACAGTCGAAAGGCACTTTATTTTTGTAACGAATCAGTCAACTACCAGTGAGAATTTGTGAGGGGTCTATCTAAGCAAATTGATGCAATAGGCAGCACATCTGATGTGAACTGTTGCGCCACAAACCGGCTTAATCACATCTAGGTATCAGGCTGTCATATATATTGGGCAATCAGACACGAAAGCCGTCACAAGTCTGAAGTCGACACGCATCACCGGCTCCTTCAACTATGATAGAATGGCTTCTCTGCAAGTTGACCATATCGATGAGGTATGCTCGCAGAGTGTCCATGCTGGACTTCGAAGGTGAATATAACAGTATATGCAGTACTATTTTTACGAGATCATATGTTGTTTCGTCTGTTATGACACTAACAAAAGTATCACAAAACAAATCTTGCCAGCTTGCTGATTTCTTTTGAAGCCGTTTGTTATAAACGACACCTTAAGCCCTTTGCTCCGCTTTGGAGCTGTCTCCTGAAGATGTTCCTAACATCGAATATGGTCACCATAGGTTAGTTTTCGTTATAGATTCACAGTCATTTCACAAGAGGAAAAACAGTCATTTCTTATCCGCCTTATCGGCTTAATATTCTCCATGAAAGTCCTCCACCCTGCTCAGGACAGCTTTTCCTTTTAATTACTATTTCATATTTTGGTATAGCATCTGCCGAAGTTAAAACCTAATATTTATTTTGATTACAACAAAAGTGAATTAAAAGTAGCTATTTTTATGAATTTCTAATACTTTCAGCAATTCCGCAAAACTGCATTTTCCGCGGAATTTACAAAGTCCGAGACTTTTCTGTGCTTTCGCGGAATCGCGGAAACTTGGGGTTTTACCAATTGTATTGTGAAGTTGTGATGTTTGCCCCATCCCTTTCCAACCAACTGACAGAAGCTGGAGACCATCCGGCTTATTTTGATAGCAACTTTTGAAACGCAAATGAATATTTTATTAATGACTATCGACATATTTAAATTGCTCGTCTCATCAAAGCCCAATAAGGAAATAACCATAACTCCGATAAAAGCTATTAAGGTTGCGCAACAGCTGTGTGCCTGGAGCTAACTGAATACGAAAATTTTAAAGGACACAGGATGTCCCCACACTATTACAACTACTAATATTAATATCAATTTTCTCTTGTAGCTGCTGGACCTCAGTCGGTTCAGGTCGCAAGTGGAGAAGCTGATGTTTGAAGGTATTCCAGTGAATACCCACGAAGATCCGATTAACTACGTTCGAAATCTGACAAGAATACTAAAGAGGGAAGACGGGGAGGATTCGTCATTCTGATATTATTTCTACATGCAATTTTTGGACTCCCACAATAACACAACAAAGAAATGCAGAGCTTAACGTTTTACTGTTGCTTTTGCTTCTGCAATTTTTGTGAGCAATCATTTACAGTGCATTGCCGCACCTCGTTGATGGGTTTCAGTTGGGTGTTTGACGACTGAAGTATAAATTTTGAGCACCACGCGCGCAGCATACGGTACGTCTAGGTTGGACGCTTCTTTTATCTTGGTACAGATTAATTTTCGTGGCCAACAGAAGTAGGGGGTTTAAGATACACCGATTTCGTTGCAATTGTTACTAAAACCACGTTCGGTACTAGGTGACTGGGAGACTAAACGCTCACGTAAATCCGCTGAGCATTCCTAAATTTTATTCAGTACAGAATTGAGTCGAATCCACCTGGAATTGGGATTACAGAGAGATAATTATCTCTACCATTACTGCTTATCTTTCATTATTTAAATGGAAGTATCAACAATCCGAAACCTGTTACATATAGTCAGCGGGCTTACACTGCTGTCATGAGATTTTGCAATTTACTACACCTGTAGTGGACGTATTAAATCTGCGTCTACTAGCAGTTTGGACTATGGCAACCCTTTCTGATAACAGCAGTACATGACCAGTGACGGTATGTGTTCACGTTGAACACACCGGACAAAGTCTGTAAACATGTTGAGCTGTTTCGAGTGAAAGCTGATTACTTGGATCCGCGGGTTCCCCAAATATGAAACAATAATACCCAGTATACTACTATGAAGTAAGCGTTGGTAATCAACTAACACTTTGACTCACTCCCCTTGCTATGTTTGGAAAATATTGAACTACCCTTAAACTACCAGCAGAATGCCTTAAAGGGAATTAGTTTTACCTCCTTTTGAAGACATCCGAAACCGAATGTAAAAGAATTATCCGGTGTGATACCGACGACTGATAGCTCACTCAGCTAGTTGCTGGGTACCTGTGCTTCGCACTGAGTGGTCAATCTGACCTGTCCGGTCCATCGATGGTTGTACTACGTAATAATAACGACACAAGTATTTGAATGCACGCAAAATAACATGCCACATCGCGTGCTACGTCTGCATTGACAGATTTCCCAGCTCCGCTTCGTTGGGAAAAATTGTTTGATGGAGAATTGTGACAAAATGCAGCGAAGTTTCCAAATCACTATACAACTAACTGTGATAAAAATTCGCAGGTATGCGTTTAACATGGGTGAACAGCAATACTGTACTTGAAATCCCCATAAAGTCAACTAACTGTTTTGGCGCCGAAATAAAAGTTAAATTTTGCGGATGCGAAAACAGATGGATTCTGCGCATGCTATACTGAGTTACACATTGTATACTGTTTTACTGTTTTCTTTGCAAATGTTCCATGGTAGAATGTTGGGTTGATTTAAAAGCAGGGCTGCACATTGTCAGCACTGCTTAGCTGGGACAGATTACACGATCATTGGAACTTCAAGAAAATTCTGAAAGGTACGCAGACTATTTTAGCAATGTGGCACACTTCATTGAGAGCTCGTCATAGCAGGTTCCAAATCACGTATGCGTCCACTTGCCTGAAAAGCACTGGACATCAGTTCCAACCAGTTAAGCATCATCAGTGGTGCGCATCCGTCGGATCCATCAGAATTCGTAACCAAGAGCGTCAGCGGTTTATCCCTCCGTCAGCAGCATATGCCACTGGGCCCAGGGGAAGAGCTTAGGATCGTCATGATTTAAAACCAACTGCACCTTAGAGAGTCTTAACCCATACTGCCATGCAAGTTACGAAAGTTGCTGAGGAGAGGGTTGCTCTTGAAGTACACGACGTTCACTAGCAGTAGCTATGTAAGAACTAGCAGTTATAAAAGGTTAAATAATTCCGAATCAGGGAAGGGTATGTAGGTTTCCGCCCAGCTGGTCACTTTAGAGACCATGTATTCATTTTGCTACAGTGGCTGGAGCAGCGCCATGCAAAACGCAGACCCACAATAGCTGTGTTCCACAAATTTAAGATGACGTACAAATTAGTCGATCAATGCAATCTGTTCGAAATATTTGTGCTGAAATCTGTTTCCACGAAATATTTGAACAATTTGCGCTCGCTGCACTCGAACATAACAGGATGCGTCAGGGTCTACAGTGGCCTGTCAGATAGCTCTCCGACAACAAGTGGTGTTCATCAGGGTTGTCCCATTTCCCCATTTTTGTTCAATTCCGTCGAGGAATGCATCACGGATTGTTCCCTTTCGAATTCCCTCGATGCAGGCATTAAGATGATGCCTGATGAAATGCTAGGTGAACATGATTATGCGGACGATGTTTTCTTGCCTTTAACGGTCTTGGGACGGCGCAATGAACCATGAATAACCTGTGTCGGTTGGTTCAATTATTTGGTATGCGCTTCACAACTTCAAAGTGCAATGTGTTGTTGCAGAATCACCAATAACTTGACGACCTTTTGATAGGCAGGAACTCGATGCAGTTGATCACTTCAGTTACGTTGGCAGCTGCATCCGCAACGATGGGTGCATAACCACTGAAGTTATTTCAAATATTGCAAAAGTCAGAACTGCTTACTTGAATCTACGACTTCTATGACAAGAGGATGAAATTTCCCTTGGTCTGAAGGGTCGTGTTTACAAAACCAAAGTGAAGCCTCTCCTACCATATGGCAGTGCGACCTGGCCACTACGGTCGGAAGATCTGAGGCACATTTAAGACTTTCAGCATTGCTGTCGACGGCGCATTACTGATGTCGGCTGGCACCAACGTGTCGGCAAAGAACCTACATGGGTGAAACTGACATGTGTATAACATAATGCATATTCTTATCTAATATCTAGAGGGTCTGTATGAAAAAATCTGTAAATCTTTTGTTCTTTCCCTGTGTGGGATTGGTCTCTCGCATCGTCGAGAAATAAACGAAGTATTTATTTATTTATTTAGTTAAGATGTGGGCAGGTGAGTGCTAGTTAATGGTAACCAGGCTAGTTCTTCGTAACAACAAATAGCACTGGATAAGTCGCGTTGGCTTGGACCCATACTGCGTATACTCCGTCACCGCTTAGCGAGGAGATCCGTATTTTGTCTGCCGGATGTAGAGTGGTGCAAGGCTCAAGGTGGACAAAAGTTGGCTTGTCAGTAGTAAATGAATTCACTGACTACCAAACTTGATGCCGTCGGCCCGAGTCACGTGACTCGCTTTGTGCTAGGGTCGAGACTTTACAGGACATGGCTCGCAAGAAATACCAGTGATGTGTCTGCTGTCGCCTCCTAATCGGACTGTCTGTTTAACGCCTGTTTGTTACTGAGGTACCTGTGGATTAATGACTGATTATGTGGTGTGGCAGTGAAAGCAGTAACGAACCTGTCTGACTTATGCCGTCTTACAGTGCATTTATTTCTGCATCGTTCCACCTGGCAACCGTACTGATGGCATTTGTTTCCGAAATTCCAAATCCGTCTCTGTCTATTGTTGTTGCCCACACTTCTGACTAAATTTATGGCGGCCATTTTTAGGTTGATGACTAAATGCTAACTAACCAACGGTAGTCGTATTAGTTGCTTATAATTGTACGTGAGATCTTCCAACACTAGAGGAATATGCCTGCACGTTCGTAGTGTTATTGCTCATGAGGTTTATTGTTTCTCCATTTAGTTAATGGTAGTCCATAAACAAGTGTGAACAAATGCCCGTTCGCAACACTGCAGTACTGTAACTCGAACCAGGGATCTTTGGCATGTCAACTGATATCTCATGTTGAAGGACTAAGTGGAAGCCATTTAGAACGATTTTTAACTGTCACGCTTCAGTCTGATAGTCTGATTATATTTTCACTCGCGTGACACCATTATCTGCTGGCTCGATGTCTAAATTGGACTCGCCTAAATCGCAAGTTCCGCTAACGTCTGTTCGTGTCTCGATACAATCCCACTTGACACCGTGATTTATTGCGGGTTGCAATATGAGGTCAATGTATCCCATCTCAAGTGTCTCTGTACGCATTCCCCATTTACTACTGCCGCCTTCAGGTAAGCGCACTGAGATTCAGACAAGTCATCAATGTTGATTCCGGAACAGCGACAACACGTTGTGACATCCAAATTGAAATGCTTGGGTACAGGTAGCATTCTAGCCACTGATGAATTGGTCAAGATATGCTAGCGGTCAGAACGAATGACCAGGGGGAAATAAATAGTAACACACGACGGACTGCCTGGTGGTTCGCCATTCCAGTTGATTCTCGCTCACCTCGGACAACAGACGATCATAACCGGCTCTGGCTTTACCTTACGACACGGACAGTCTGCAGTGGACATAATCACACCATTTCCCTGCTAACTTGGAAACTTGCTTACGCCATCTCCGTCATTTTATTGTTGTGTCATCATTATTCTATATCCCTCATGTACGTCACGTTTGGCTACAGTTTCATTCTACAATGATTAACTACTGAGTTGGTGTAATATGATATCTTTATTGCACCTGCCTAGAACGAATGAGCCACATTTAACCTACCTTTATTGAGCTCATTTAACTCGGTTGTATTGTGCGATGAGTTCACGTGTTGCTCATTACAATTTTGTACTCATCATGACCTATGCTATGCTATTCTTGCTATCTTCTCTAGTGCAGCCTAGTACGGTGACATACCGAGAAGGTGAGCTACGGCATGTTTCTCTTCGCATTATTATTATTATTATTATTATTCGGTCGCGATTCACATCACTATGGAATTTCCATGGTATTACTCACCAGACTATGCCACCTACTTTCTTCTCCTTGAAACCGAGTCGTAGATTACATAACCGTAACTTGACCAGCTGCTCAATGCTAACTAGCACAACGCTTAGAGAGCCGCTAAATCACAGGATAATGGTTCAGTACATCCATGAGCTCATTTGTAATTGACGTGCGCGCGGTGCTTCCGAGCGATTTGTGTGCTTGATACCGAACAATGTCAGGGTGGCAAATAATTGTGTATGTTTCCAGTTCCATGGATACATTTGAATCAAAAGGTTATCGTCGCTTGGCCGCTTACAGTACGCATA